TATATATCTATACGTATACATGCGTACCTTTAAAGATGTGATCCAAGTACACGAGGATTTCGATTTTTGGCTTGACTGATAAAGAAATTAAATATGTGCATACGTTCATGTATTGACATTTACGCGCAAGAACCCTTGTGATACAAGGAAGCGATATACCTGGGAAATTTCAACTGCGAGAACGAGGACCTGATAGGAATCGTGTACGACAGGATTCTCTCACAGGCATGGTGCAATAGTGTTATAAAGTCACAGTATCAGCTTACCTCGTTCTATCAATCGATGAAGTATAGCACGAGGTCGAGATTAAGACAGTTACTATTAAGTGTCATAGTACAATGAACAGACAAATGTGCCCAGCCACCATCTCGCTTTGTATGGCTCGAACTGTCGATCATTTGATGCCTTTTTATCGATCGTCGATGAGAACGGTACTATATATTTCAGCGACTTGATTTTCAAAGGTACAACTGCTTCGCATTCTCGGAACTTTGCTATAAGAAAAAAATCTGCGACCACGCATTATAAGATCGAGAGGAATAGAGTTTTCACGTTGTTACACCTACTCAGTGTTCATTGAGTAGTTCGTACGTTTTGATGGTCGTTTTCTTGTATTGGGTGAGATTCAGGCAAGACACAAATCTGTCTATCCGCCGCTGCCCAATGTGTGGCTGGGGACTTGGGCAACGTCTTATACATTGACAGTGGGACAAATTTTTCCGTTGCCCGCCTGCGGACATACCTGCAACCTCTAGGTATGCTATCGGTGTTTAAACGTACAAAGTAGTGATTTGGACATTTACTAATATTGGTAAAATATGTGGTGAAAACCGATCAACGGGTAACATAACTTTCTTTAAGAGTAAACGAAGCACAATCTAAAGCCTAAAAAACGTATACACAATTGGGCGAGTTTAGCTTTCTAAATGATATACCTCATCACTCCAACGTGCACACCAAACGTCACAGTTTTATAATTGTGTATCAAATTCCTGAATTTTGGTCCGAATAGTTTCAGGTGGTGTAAATGAGGATTCGCTACTAGGGATGGTGGTGTGTTGTATATCAGCCAGCGCCCACGAGTTAGTAGACATCTTAAGTGCAGTGTTGAGGGCTGTTGAAGGGCGCGATGTCGAGATGACATCCATACTAACCGAGAAAGAACCTCCACAACTAATCATCATCGATTCAATATCTGCGCTGTTGGCACCAGTTCTAACAACAAGCGCTCGAGGTACACGTTGTTTTAGATACTGAATAATTATCCATGCGAACTGTGTGAAAGTTCGTTTTACGGCACTATATAGCGCCCTGCGCACAGGCGCATTTATGTTATTTGGTCGGCCAGTACATACAGAGAATGACTACGCTTCTAACATTAGTGAAAATCTTGAGAGCATAAGGTGCACGCTATAATCAATGGTCACCATGACAAGTGAACTGCGAGGTATGGCATCCGTTTCCCTTCGCACATGCCCCAGGACAAGAAATATTGACCTTCAACTCCAATGTACATACAGGTCACGCGCTTATGATGTCGATAGCAACAGCACTAAGAACACTCACGCGGGAGCATAATGTGATCATTATAACTACGAATGGGTAAGGAACACTCTCGCGTTCGTGTAGTGAGTCTAATACTTTCAACAGCGGCATATATTACGATTCGAGGTTGCTGAACCTTTTTTTCACCCCCTTGCAGCGTAACGAAAATGCATAAGAATGCAAACTATAAGTCAGCTTTGGGGACAAGTTGGATAGAAGTAGCGGATACCCGTATTACTTTACAAGAACCAGCCGATACATCACAAGCTATTGGTGTCACCCAAATTGAAGCCAACGTGATAACATCAAATCGAATACAGCCTAAAAAAGGCGGCATATTTCAAATCAGTGGTGCAGGAATTACGTAGGAACCCCCCTTGCAGTGTAACGAAGACGCACAAGAGTGCAAACTTTAGGACAGCATTGAGGACAAATCGAATAGGAGTAGCGGAAACGCGCAGTACTTTGAAAGAACCAGCCGATACACCACAAGTTACTGGTGTCACCCAGATAGTAGCCAACGTGATGACATTAAAATCAAGTACAGTCTACAAAAGGCAGCTCAGAAATCACATAGAGATACCCTCGCAGTGTAACGAAAACGCATAAGAGTAACTATAGGACAGCATTGGGGACAAGATGGATAGGAGTAGCGGAAACGCGCATTATTTTGAAAGAGCCAGTCGATACATCACAAGCTACGGGTGTCAACCAGATAGAGCCAGTCGATACATCGCAAGCTACGGGTGTCAACCAGATAGAGCCAATGTGATAACATCTAATCAAATACAGTATATAAAAGGCGGCATTTTCCAAATCAGTGGTGCAAGAACCACGTAGAAAATCTAGTAGCGGCGCTTCCACGTCTCGGGCAACTATGCGAACGAACTGATACATTTTGATAAGTATACCGTTTGCATTTGACGTTCGAAAAGTTTCCAGCCAAACAATATTGATCAAAAATTCTCCCAACGTTAGACTTGTTAAAATAAATAATTGTAGATGTGCCCGGGCACTATCGCAATAATTCACTATCGCTTTATATTAAAGCATTTAAATTATTAGAGGGCCAGCCACTACGTGACAAATATCGCTTGACGCAGAATTGAAGGTAGGCGTTCACGAGCCAAGAGACAACGGTGATGCAAACCTAATCACATATAATCATCCATATCATTTTCGAACCTGCCTCTGGAACCGTCATCGTTTCCTCGTTCCATTTTCATCGTCGCACCCTTTTTCTTTTTACCACCCTTTTTCTTCTCTTTCTCCTATGATCAATACAAATGATTAAACAAGCATGTTTAAAACATCAGTCGCAGCGATAGAATATTGCAATCGATACCAATACCGGTACAAACAGCTATATATATATATACATATATATATATAATATAATATAATATATTACATATATACATACATATATATAATCAGTGATAGATCACTTACAATTCGTTGCTTATCATTGGCTGATACGTTCAGGATCTGTGCTACTTTCCGTGTGTCCTCATAATCCAAATTTTCTGTCAACTCTTTTGCGATCTGCTCCACCATCGAAAGGTAAAACGGAGTGTCCTGGTGGATTGTAAAATGAAGAGGCGTTAACTTACATTCTAAATATAGCTTGTCCCCTGAAATCATTAAGGCATAACGACCCGACAGTCAAAACCTTGTTAACGGAATAGTTGTTACCTCGTACTGTCGTAGCCTCGCAGAAATATTTTTAGCAAATTTGTCAAACTGAGACCGGTTCCTGGGATTAGCCTTATCAATACTATTTTCGTCCACCTTTTCCTTCACAGCCACTGGCGTATCTTCCACACCACCGAACATATCCTGCGGGAAAATTTTCAGCGATGGTATCTTACGATCAGCAAATCACAACTGAGAATATACAAAGCACCCCTGCATCACCTGAGTTCGACTATGAACTTAAAACCGAATCTGACTACGGTAACATTTGGATAATAATCCGATTGACATTCGTGCTCGTGGGAAAATAGCAGCGATATGTATTGGATCTAAACATATATGAGGGTCACAAGCGGGGTTAAAAAACTATTTATCTATACCGACATCGCCATTGATACTCGGAGCTGGTAGGGATAGACATAGACAGCCAGAAAAAAACGACAACTGTGACTATTGATAAAATTGCCTAAAGACCGATTTTGCTACTCGATTCCAACACTCTGAGCTCCTAGATAACTGTAATTGTAACGAGAACAGCGAAGGCGACATTTCTATCATATACGAGCATACAAAAGCTGACAGTGGCGTGAATCTGAGTCAACTGCGACGGCTCCAAGGAGAGAAATCAATATCACATGCCTTAGAACAGAGACTACCAGACACGAGCATTTGCACAAGATTGCCAAAACAGTCCCTCCAGGCGCATAAGCAACACAAAACATCCACAATGCAGCTGAACTGATATTATCACGCCTTTAACACGAGACAACTTGTACTGCACGACTGGCGCTATATTTAAAAACCTATGTCGTAGGCGTTTGGCATAATACACAGTTACAGATGAAAAAGCGAACACAAGGTGTAAGAACACACCCTGCTTTCAATACCCACAAAGACTCTAAAAATTAACTATCATGATGGGAATTACCTTTGCCAAGTCCAAGTCCGCCTGCTCCACGAGTATTTGCCTTTGTCGTTTCTCATCTTCGGGATCAGCCTCCTAAAATTGAAAAAGGTCACTCTACAGATGAGCCACACTCGAAAAACCCTTTGGAGATAGACACACTGCGAAAAAAAGAAAAGAACTCGTAGTGTATGATATACAGGTGTAAATTCATACATACAAGGTATTTATTTTAACACGTCAGGTTGACAACAAAACACATACCAATTCAGCCTGCGCCATTTTCTCCTCCAATTCTTTCTGTTTCTTCTCTTCCTTCTCTTTGAGTATTTGTTTCAATCCTTTCTTCTTCTTTGTGGTTGTGACTGTTGTTTTCGTCTCCGTTACTGCTGGGTTGTTCTCTGTGTCAGAGTCAGCATCCCAGGCATCCTTTACGCCATCATCCTCCTCGTCGGAGAAACCTGTGCCTCTGTTGAAGTTCTTGCTGTCATTCAGATCAACATCGAACTCATCATCCTCCCACGACATTATAGCAGTGAAAACTAGTCACAAAATACAGGTGATGAGACAGCTATGAACTATATTCCAAAGGGATGCGACAATAATGACCACTATTATTCAATTATACAATATATATTTAGTATATATATTTATGATCTATTCAGTTTGGAATGATGCACGGAAAGAGGTCGCGTGTTTTGGGATGATGATTATGAAGTATATATTTTCGGAAATAAAACAGGCAAAGCTTTTTATTTTAGAGAGGTTTTAGCCTTTTACATACATAGGACGGCCCTAAATTTGGTTTGAAGTGTTCACTGTTCCACGATAAATATGTGTATAAAAGTATCATAAATACAATCATTCATGCTTTTTAAGTACTGCATTTATCTATTGTATTTATATATTTCCTATGTACTACTCATCTTGAAGGATTTGGTAGATTGTTCATTGCTAGTGGATCAAGCAACCATCATGTCTTCAATGCATTCAGGGGTCTCCCCTCCGATACTACAGGTAAAGTGATTTGCAAGCAGGCTTAGGTGAATGCTTCTGATGTAATTGAGTTGTGTAAAATTATCGAGATTCGTTGCTTCGCGTTCGCCGGCCTTTTTAGATTGCGCTCACGTCATCACATGTCCAATGTTTATGTATTTTACATAACCTTGTCAAAAAAACACTTTGGTTGTATTTTACTTTTACTACACAGTATTATGAGCGTCTATGGACCCAAGCATGCCAAGGAACTGCACATGTCACAGGCGGTGTTGCCGTAGGCTTATTCAAACATTCGGGGCTACCCACACAGGCTTTGAGTCAGGTAAGTTGAAGTCTCAGTATTTAATATCAGGTCAATCAGAATATGCACTTTACGGACTGAAAACTTTAATAAACTCGCGTGCTCGTGTTGTGCCCAGATATGGACTTTGGCAGACGCGAATGCGCATGGTAAGCTGGACAAAAACGAGTTTATATCTGCGCTTAGGCTCATAGCTGCTGCACAAGCAGGCGCAACTCCATCACGCGCGTTGCTGGATCAACCACCACCGCCAGGTGCTCCAGCTGCATCGTTCCAGGGAATCATTGGCCCTACAGGTAAACATATTTGAATTTGTATTATTTCGTATCCACGCGTTGCTCATGGCCACTCCAGCACCACAAGGTTATGAACTCACTGAACCTAGAAGGCAATTGCAGTACAATCTACTGATATNTATATATATATATATATATATATATATATATATATATATATATATA